ATTTTACCCCCTTGGAACTCCCTCAGGCTGAAGTAACAACCAAGGCAGTGTTTGTCGAAAGCATTTAAACACAAACACATATACTACCTTGAGTCACCTGGGGCAGAGAATGGCAGTGCACACAGCAAACAACACAAAGAATAAAAAGGCCCAGCAAAAAAGGAGGCTGGACAGGAAGATACATGAGGAAACTGAAGGGCTCGAGTATGGAGCACATGCCCATTCCCAAATCTGGGCATGTGCCCCTAGTGCTCCTCACTTGTGTTTTGGCCTCTGTGTGAGCAGAAGGTGAGTAAGGCAGAGTTACAGGTGGCCTGCATAAACAATGAAGAAGTGCCTCAGCTAGAGCCAATTTGCAAAGACGGAGGTGTATTTTTTTTTTAACTCTTTTGTGGCTCCAAATATTGAAAGTCTGTCAGATCTCTGATAACAGAATGGAGACTTCAGTAGGGCGCCAGTAGCTTACACCTGTAATCCTAGCTACTCAGGAGGTAGAGATCAGAAGGATCTCAGCTAGAAGCCAGCCCAGGCAAATATTTTAAGACACCCTATCTTGAAACAAACCAACACAAAACAGGGCTGGCAGGGTGATTCACATGATAGAGCACCTCCCTAGCAAACATGAGGTCCTGAGTTCAAACCCGGTACTACCCTCCCCTCCCCCTCAAAAAAAAGACCAGTAACCACACAGGACAAAAAGAAGTCTCTGCAAAATTAGTTTAGAAGTTACTTTAGAAAAGACATAGGAAGCTCATAATAATCAAAGAGTAACCCAGAGGAGACACATTCTAAAATTCCCAAATGACATTGTATTATTAAACATAGCTAGTTTTCAGTTCCAAAATTGAAGCATGTAAGGTACTGGAATTACGCACTCTGAGGAGCTGGAAGAGAAAAACAATGAACAGAGACCGAGGGAACCGATCCACATTTTCAAGTGTACCAAAAGCATTAGGGGAGTGCCAAAAGACAGCGGCAAAGACTTGAACAATGGCTAAAAACTTGCACATTTACTGCATTTCCAAGGAGTTCAACTACCAGCAGGATAAACGCAGAAATCCAACCTACATTATAATCAAACCATCAAAGACCAAAGCTAAAGGGGATCTTGAAAGTACCAAGGGCAAAGTGACTCGCCTTACACAGGGATCCTTGATTAGGTTAGCAATCTCAGAAACCACGGAGGTCAGAAGGTCGTGGAGTGACATACTTAACATGCTGAAAGAAAACTGTCAACCAAGAGTTCTGTATCTGACAAATTACTCTTCAAACTATATTCCCAGATAAATAAGCCTTAGGGAGTCTGTAGATAGATCTCTCCAACAAGAAATGCTAAAAGGAGTCCTTGCTGAAATGAGAGCCAAGATGTTCTTTCCTTCATCCACAGATTCTCTTGGGGGGAGCTAAGAAACTGTGAAAGATTATCTTCAAGGAAAAAGTGTTTAGGATTAACTTGTCACCCACATAGGTAACTGTCCTGTCCACAAGTGAAATTTTATTTTCTTTAGAAGTTCTGGGGTTTGAACTCAGGGCCTCACACTTGCTAGGCAAGTGCTTTACCACTTGAGCCACTCCACCAGCCCAACTATCCACATGAAAATACTTCATTTGTCAGTACCACTGGGGATTCAAGTGTTCCACAAACTTCCAACCCAGGAAACCTTATCTAAATTTTAGCACTAAAACTTAACAATTTCAAATAAGAAGCTTCTGCACTGTACTGCATTTTTTCTGCCTACTACATACTGACAGATGAAAACACACACAGTGGAAGAACACTGACATAGTAACTCTTGTACACCTTTCATCCTAACAGATTGCAGAACTTCCCTGGACTATCTTCCTTTTGACTATAAATTAAGACAAATGGTTTAATATCTAGGTTCTCACTATAGTTTATTCTTGCTGTAAAATTTTACAAGTTTGAGATCACCAAAGTGGAGGTGGACAATAGGAAAATGAATACAGATGGTACCAACTTAGGATTCAACTTTCAGCTTTAAAACTGTACAAAAGACTGGGGCACGTGGCCCAAGGCCTGAAATTCAAGTGCCAGAATCGCCCCCCACAAAAGAAGCTTGTGCCAAAGTGATGCGTTCATTAGAAGCCACATTTCAAATTCTGGTCTTTTCTCAAGCCAGCTTTACACAGTTCAAATTTCCCCTTGCTTTCTTTGCCCAACTATAGGCTAATGTTAAATATTCTGACCACATTTGTGGTAGGTTTGGCAGGTAGGTGTATTAAATGCTTTTTTGAGCTACAATATCCCAACTTAAGGTGGGTTTATCAGAACATAATCCCACTGTGAAGTCAAGGATTTGTAGACTGACAAATTGTTGATAAATGTTGAAGCTGGGTGACGGATACAATAGATCTTCAGTATCTGCAGGCATCTGGTTCCAAGGAGCCCACCGCTGAGAAAAAACCATGAATGATCAGAATGCACGGAATTCAACACTACATCGTGTAGATGCTTGATTCATTTTTCCCGACACTACCCAATTTCTGCTAAAGATATGCTGCTTTTCAACAAATCTCAAATTTTCACTTTATGACTTAAATTAACTTTTACCTTGCTTTTTGTGAGCCATATTTTCACAAAATTAAGGGTAGGAAAACACCAGATCACACAATTAAACACAACTATAAGGCCAGACTAACTGAGCCAAGGTGTAGAATGCATGCTAGAGAAATTTCAAGTTTTTGTTTTTAAGGTTTCTTTTGGTTTCATTTATTTACTTATGTGACAGGGCTTGGTCAGAACTGTGTGTAAAAAATCCACAAATAAGGCAGGCTTACTTACTGCTCACAGGTTCATTATTCTTTCTACTACTGGGTATGTCTGAAAAATTCCAATTGTAAGATTCATCTAGGAAACAAAATTAAAACATCAATTTCTGGTTCTCCTCACCTATAAAATAAGGCCCCAACACGCTGTTATAAATTCTAAGTGAGAGAATGCACTCCCTTCTAAAGCAGTTCACAAACTACCTCATTAACCATTTTAAAATCATTACTTCCACATTAGGCATATGGTTTTTGTTAAAACTTATGCAATGACTTTTTTTTGTTTTTACTTTGTATTTTGTGGTAAGGAAGCACTAGAAGATCTTGAAACTGACTGAACTATCTGCTCCTATACTAAATGTCCCCAGAATGCCACTTGTGCCTGTCTTGTCTTCAGTATGGAAGAGTTGCTTGGTTAAGAAAGCCAGCACTGCCATTCCTCTATGGTATTATTTGGCTGCAATGGCCAGTGACTTACTGAATGCTATCAAAAGGGGAGGGTATAATGCCCTCTGGATCTAAGCAAACATTCCTATTCTTTACTTTGTGACATTTATTTTGGCTACCCAGAGATTCCATTAGTTTCTGGCTACCTGCAGGATAGTTAAGACCTGTTTATTTAGTAAACATTAACCACTTATGGGTTGGGCATAGTGACACACGCCTGTGATCCCAGCTACTGGGAGGCAGAACCTGGTCTGAGGCCAGCCCCGGGGGAAAAAAAGTATGAGCGAAACTGGGCTGGGGATGTGGCTTGCCTAACAAGTACAAGACCCTGCGTTGAAACCACAGTTCCCCCAAAAATTATCTACTTACTACAAACCACTTAATCTTAAACTGACATACTAAACTATTCAGTGGTTTGTGAAATTAATTTAGGTCACACACATTACTTTTTTTTTTTTTTTTAAGACATCTCAACTATGCAGCCCAGGCTGGTCTCAAGCTCAAACTATCCCACCCCAGATTCCCAAATGCTGGAGTACAGGTATGCACCTCCATGCCTTGCTCTACAACTTGCATTTTAACAGTCATTTATTTGAGGTACTGGGTTTGAACCCAGGGCCTCCGGCTTGCTAGGCAGGTGTTCTACCACTTGAGCCACGCCCCCAGCACCACCCTGTATTTAATGTAATGAAACAGAAAATACCAGCACGGTACATAGTATGCAGTGGTGTTTGTCCCCTGACATTTTCTTGTATATATGACTAAACCACTGTGTCAATCATGTTACTATGAACTGCACGTTAAAAAAAAAAAGAAAAAAGGAGGCCTGCGAGCCACTGTGCTAGGTAATACGTTAAACTCAGATATCTAACAAATTCACAACGTGTAGATGTAAAGGAGACATCACCAAACAATGTAAATACTTCTAATTTAACACAAGAAGTCAATTATACTGGGGCAAGACAAAAATTAACTGACAAAATTTAGGATGTAAGTGTAATTTCCTTCCAGATTCAGAAAGAAAACATTCTGATCTTTACTTCTTCATTCGCTTGTCAAATCTTCACTGAGCGCATGCTGCACGCCAGGAACTAGGAACGCACGCGATACTCACAGGCATTCCTGTCCTCGTGGGGCTTACAGGCACTGGGGCGACGACGGATTTAAGAGGCAAGTAAAGAAAGAAAATTACAAGCTGAAGTAAGGACTCTGAATAAAACAGAGGGCTACTGAATGAAGAGGAGGCCGAGGCGGGAGAGGGACGAACTGCAGACAATGGCTTCGCCATCCAAGGGTCTCCTACGTAGAGGTTCTGGAACTCATCCCTGAAGGGTCGCTTCTAAGAATCAACCCACACCACATTTAAAAAAAAAAAAAACCTCAATCGACGACAAGATGTGATTTTACCCAGAACCCGTTAGCGACAGGTGCTCTCTCTGTACAGCGGACGCTTGCAGACAAGACAGACTCCCCGCGGGAACCCAACCAGTGCCGCTCCCCCGACTGCTGCCGACCCCTGACGCCGACCGCCCCTCCTGGGGCGATGAACGCGCGGACGAGCCCCGCGGGAAGCGGCCCGACAATGCGGGGCCGCGCCGGCGCGCACTCCGCCCTCCCCGGCCGGGCCCGACGCCCCGCTGCCACCGGGGCGGACGCTCTCGGACACCGGCGCGGACGCTCTCGGACACCGGCGCCCGGCAGCGCGGAGGGCGGCGAAGGCCCCACACAAAGGCAGGCGGGCGGCCGGCCCGCCGCGGCCCACGTACCTCCGGCGCCTGCTCCTCCGCCTGCGCCCAGGGCGGCCGCCATAGTGCTCGCCGCGCCCGGCCTTCAGCCGTCCCCCAAGCCGCGGGCGGGCCGACGGGGCTGGTACGGGCCGGTGCGCCGGGGGAGCGGCGCGGGCCAGTGCCAGCGAAGGGGCAGAGGCAAGGCCGGCGCGTCGCGGTCCGCAGCGGCCCGTCGCCTCCGCAGGAAGAAAACAACACTACGGCAACATGGCCGCGCCGCGGTGCACGCCGGGAGGAGGGGGGAAGCAGGCGGGAGGAAGGGGCCGGCGGGAGGAAGGGCCGGCCGGCGGGAGGACGGGGAGCCCGAAGACGTAGAAGCCCAGGTGGCCCCCCGAGTAGTCGGCAGCACGAGGGACGGTCAGGCGTGCCAAGACGGCTTTCGCCGGGCCAGAAACGCCAAGGCTTAAAGGGAGGCGGGGGCGGCCGCAGGCCGTAGGTCGACTCTGGTGCTGTCGTAAGCGCTTTGCAGCAGTTTGCACAGCCGCGCTTTACGACGGCCGGTCTGCCGTCGGAAGTGGGGTTCTAACGGCGCGGCTCAGCTTCTGCGCGAACCGCGAGCGCCGCGCTCGCGCACGCGCTCTCAGCCGGAGTCCTGGCAGGTGACGCCAAGGAAAGGGGACTGCAGGAGGCGGTTGGGCAAATCCAGGCCCGGGCGGGGCCGGTCTGAAGCAGAGACTGCATGGCCGTGAGTGCGGCTACCGGAAAGAGAAGCGGGGCCGCGCCGAGCCTCGGACGCCAGGGGCTGGCGGGCAGGTGCGCTCAGGTGCACACGTGTCGCCGCACGCCGCGGGGACGGAGAGAGGCAGGGCGTGGGATGAGGTCATCCACCCTGGCTCACGGTGGCCGAGAAAATGTTAAATGTAGAACGGCCAACTTCTGTGTGCTTGAAGTTTCCCTCAAATATGGTGGGGACCGTAAGTGTTCTTGGATTAATACCCTAAGCAGTATTCATCTAAGAACCAAAAATAGGTGGATTTTAGAAAAAAATCTTGTAATTCTATCTGGCAAAATCCCTGTCTCCAAAAAAAATTGTCTTTTAATTCAACCTGGTAAAATCATTGCTCCCCTCCCCCATTAAAAATAAGCCTTGCAAGGGACCTTATTGAATAACTAGGGCTCCATCAGCACATTAACACATTAGATGGCTTGAACTCGTTGCCTTTTTTTTTCTATGCAGGACAGAATGCCCAACTCAGATGTCTTCAAGATGCTTTCAGTGGTGGTCTTGAGAAGGATGCCTCAAAAAAATTCACAATGATGCAATAATTTGATCGTTATATAGAGCAGAGTTACAAATCACCTAAAACTGATGTGATTTTTTTTTTTTTTTAGGACAAGAGTGAATCTTTTTGGCCATGTTTTATCTGAGGAAAGACAGTCATCTCAGTTATAAACAACCTTAAAAAAACTAGGGCTAGCATCTCTATAAACTTTTAAAAATCAGACATCCACTGGAAAAATTTTTAAACATGTACTTTAATAAGCTCCTTTCCTTATTGCCCGGTTTCACTTTGGGTTAACTTTATGACTTGTTCCAGAAACCTGATAAAGGTGCAGTGTCAGCTGTGGTATGAAGCAACATTGCCTGTGGTAAAAATGACCTCTGATTGGTGCAGCAGTCTGATTTCAGAGCACTGAACAATCCTTAAAACACTTGGCGAGAAGCCATATCTTTATGCTGTCCTAAGCAGGTTACTCTTAACTAGTGTAGGGTTTAAAAGACGGATGTTGTAACAGGACTCCCTCACCTGTAGATAATAAATGTGTCTATGCCTCTGTGTGTACACGGGTGGGTGCACTTCCTACCTCTGTCCACCAGGAGGGCCTAGAAAACAACAGCCCACAAGTAGTAAGAACAACTAGTGCCTCAATTTTGGCTTCTAAATACCATACCCTAAAGGAAACCAACTCTTTTTGGGAAAATGCCTGATTTTAGGGCGATAGCATGGAAAGTACAAGATGATCCTGGATGGGCTTCTTCCTTCCAGAAATAAAGGAGGCACTCAATAGTAACTGACATATCAAAATGACATAGTTAATGGACTGCCACTGGTTAGATCAGAGGTTAGATAGCTTCAAATTAAACAAGGACAATAACAGAATAAAAAACTGAACCAGGCGACCATGTGTCTAAGCAAATATAAATAAAAGAATTAATTGAAATTTTTACAAAAACAATTCGTCCAGGGCGGGGAGGGTGTTTACTTAAAAAAGAATAACTTCCAATAGAAAAAACTAGAAATTCCATCTTAACTGATCAAAAGAAACATGTTCAGTCATGGAATAAGACAAAACTGTGTGCCACTAACAGAATGCAAGAGAACAGCATCATTTTTGTGATAATCCGATCAAAGATACCTACTCATGTACCAGACTCATCTTGGAGAAACCAGGGCAAACTCAAATTGAAGAATGGTCTACACAGTAACTGGCCTATAGCCTTCAAAAGCATCAAAGTTATGAAGGTCAAGGAAGGGGTGAGGCAGAATTCCAGACTGAAGAAGAGTCATGACAACCACTTACAGCACTGACTAAACTGAATTTTTCAGAGAACTAATGAAACTGAGTAGGGTCTGAAGATGAGAGGGGAAGAATATGAAAAGGTTAATGTTTTGATTTTGATTGTTGGAATGAACATGTAGGAAGAAAGTTTTTGCAACAAATGCACCCAAAAGTACGAGAAATGGGCATCACCAACATATCCTCTGGTGGCTCCCAAGAAAAGTTTACTTTTACTCAGTGTTAAACTTTTAAGTTTTTAAAATTACTTCATAGGAAAAAGAATTATTGCAGGCAAAAGAACCATATAGAACATTTTTTTAAAGCTTCAATTACTACAGTAAGAAAACCCAAAGGAAAAGTTACACAGATGAGACACATTTATGAGAATTTTGGAGTCAGGGTAGATGGGAAAAGATTACCCAGATTATAGCGTATAGAGAGAGTGAGCTGAAGAATATGGATGAGAATGTCAAACAGGTGCTCTAGAAAAACTTTGTATGTTGAAACCTATCCCCACCCAAAGCGTAGATGTGGGGGGTCTTTGGGAGGTGGTTAAATTATGACAGCAGAGCCTGCATGGATGCAGATGAGCCCTTGTAAAAGAGGCCCTACAGAGAGCCCTTCCCCTCCCTCCTGGGAAATGGGCCATACCAGACACTGATTCTGCTGGCACCTGACCTCTAGCTTCTAAGCTCCAAAACTGTCAGGAACAAATTCTGTTTGTAAGACATGCAGACTATGGCATAACAGTGCAAATGGACTAAGACAGCATGCATTGTTGGAGTGGCAGAGGGAGAGAAGAGAAAAAGAGAGCAGGAAATACTTAAAAAGACAAGTTTCTGAGGTTTTGTTTTTTGGTACTGGGGCTTGAACTCAGGGCCTACACCTTGAACCACTCCACCAGCCCTTTTTCTTTTTTTTCTTTTTCTTTTTTTTTTTTCTTTTGTGAATCATTTTTTGAGATAGGGGCTTGTGAACTATTTGCTAGGGGCTGGCTTTGAACCACAATCCTCCTGATCTCTTCTTCCTGAGTAACTAGGATTTTCATCTGTGTCCAGTGAAAGAACTGATAAAAGACAAATACAAAGGTACAGGAACCATTTTTAAGGAAAATAAAAAGAAATCCACATCTAGATACATGTGCTGAAACTAAAAAAATTCAAAGAAAAAAATAAAAGGACAGGAGGCGTGACTCAAGTAATGGAGCACCTGCTTTATAAGGATGACACCCTGAGTTCAAACCCCAGAACCATCAAAAGAAAGGAAGATATTAAAAGTAACCAAAGCAAACTTACACCTCTGGCCATAATAAAATAATTGGGAGACAGAATTCTCTTTATTTTATGAACACCTTGAAAACTGGATATAGTTGAGGGGGTGGAAAACCCACAAACAGTGGACCACAGAACTGTAGCCCAAAAAGAGGAGACAGTGGCCTTATGATGCATTGCCCAGCTTTCTGCCTAAAAGCATGTTCTAGACCATGAGGCAAAAGGGAAGCTCAGTAAAACACTGGGCTCAGTGGCTGGAGGTGACAAGATCAGAGTTTGGAGGTGCTGACATGGGGCAGTAATGGGGGTGCCATGCAGAGAAAGAGCTACCTTGAATTATTACAGGTGAATCTCCAGAAGACTGAAAAAAGTACAATAGGAATAATCAAATCTGTAAGCTGAACAACTCCCAGAGAATTCACACGGCCTGGGAGACACAGTGAAAGGGCCTGATTGAATATCCCAGATATTCAGTAGAGATCCAGGAAGGGTCGCAGTAGTGGCAGGAATAAAGCAGCCCCAGAGTAAAGATTCCTCTGGCACCTCCTAGCAGCTTTAAAACCTTCCTGGGAAAATTATTGCTAATCAAGTGATTTAATAACCTGCCAAGACAAAGGTCAGTATTCTTTAAAAGAAGATAACCAAATTCACTCAATCAAATAAAAATCTCCAAAGTACAGCATCTAATCAAAAACTACTAGTGACATGAAGAAACAGAATAAATATAACTCATAGTAGGAGAAAACATGACAGATGATGGCGGTAACAGGCAAATAATTTCAAATAATTATTATAAATATGCTAAAGAAATTAAGGAAAACATCCCTATGAGGAAATAGAGGATATGCAGTGGAATTTCTAAAGCCAAAAAACATTTGAAATAAAGTAGTCAGTGAATAGTCATACACGCAGATTAGAAATTCACAGTTCCATCTCAAAGATACACAGCTAGAAGGAGCATCACTCTCATGCTTACAACCAGAAAAAATGCAGGTCTTTTGATCCTAGAGAATCAAGGTTACAAATCAACCAAGTACTGGGAATCTAGGGAGAGACAGACACCTGCGGAGGTTTAAGGCTTTGTTGGGAGTATTTGCTACCTCGGAATGGCAGAAATAGGTAAGATGATGAAGAAAACACAGAACAAAATTAAAACCTTTTGCTCTGAAAGACACTATGAAGACAAAGGAAAGTGTCCACGTATAATGTATTCCCAGACTTGAGAGGCTATGGTAGAAGGATCATGAGTTTGAGGCCAGCCTTGTCAACATAGCAAGACCTTGTCTCAATAAAACAGAGAAAAGGCATAGACTTGGAGAAGATATTCGCAAATCATATATCTGATAAAGGACTAGTATCTAGAATATACAACAAAGAATTTTTAAAACTCAATAGGAAAGCAAGCAATCTAATGCTTAAAACTGGCAAAATATCTACACACAAACCACCCAAGAAGATATACAGATGGCAAATAAGAATATATACATTTTATTGTATGTACATATATAGTGTGTTGTATATATGCCCTTAGTCATTAGGGCAATGGAAATACAGCCACAGTGAGATACCACTGTGAACAGTTAAAGTTAAAAACCAGCAAAAATGCCAATGAGGAT